GGCAATGACATATATCAACAGAAAGTCAGGTAATATTATTTGATTTTTTACCCTATTTGAATCAATAATCTTGTTATCTAATTCTATTTATAAAACATATTCTACCTATAAGTTTAATAATTATCTATTTTATTATTTTAGAAATTCAAGAAAAAGCAATGATATGTCAAGAAACTACCACCAAGTGATAGTGGATTTAAAGGCTACTCTGAAGATGTAAGTAAACAATAATGCGGTTTCTTTTTTTTACAATGCTGTTGTTATTGCTGCTGCTTCTGATATTGCTGTTAGCTTATTATAACTTCATATTCATCTTACAGGGAACCCCTGGCAGGCAGTACCACAGACAAGCTTGATTTGGACCTCATCCTTCCCCACCACTCCACAAGTAAGTCTAGTCTACATGGGCGTTGTTGGTTCGACCTTTCTACAAAACATTACCACACAAGAATGCACCTCCGAATGGTTCAAGAACAACAATGCGTAATGGTTGGTTAATGGAGTCAGGTTTTGGTCAGATCGTAAGTTATATATCTCGATTATTAATTTCTTCATCGCTGGGGTAATTTAACAATAATTAGATACCAAATTTTAGCAATATAAAAAAAGAAATAGCTATAACATAGTCATAATAGATAGTTAAATAGTTATCATAATTATAGTAATTTCAGTAAGTTTAGATGTGAAGATGTGCCGATGAAAGACGTCTTAAAAAAAGGGCAATGGTGCCCAATAGGTCACTTCGAAGCAAGCACAAGAGTTTGTTTTGAGGGATTTATTGCGGCTTCAAACCCAGTATTTTCGATTGGAACCAAAAAAATTGTAGAAGCAGTTGCGCCGACATTGCCGTTGTCCTAACTGTGACTTAGAGAGAGGCGTAGCTTTGCAGCGAATGGCTTGCCAAAGAATGCCGCGCAGGTTGCCCGTCCTTGGGTTAATATGAGCCAATTGGATTTCGGGCATGCCGGCCATACCTTCTGGGAGATAACGATAATAAGGATGCATATTATTTGGTTGGTTAATTGAGTCATGTTTTAGTCAGATCGTATACGTAATTTATATATTTAGAACATTAATTTCTTCATTGTCGGAGTT